CAAATCCCTGGCTAGCAAGCAAGCTGACCGGCTGGGAGCCCAAACCAGCCAGTCGTTGAGGTAGGCCAACACCCGAACACCTAGGAGACGCAAACGAGCCACCACAACCTGTGTAAGGCGCGTGAACACGCGAGGTGCCAGGTTCAACCCGAACGGGAGACAACAAAAGCGGTAACTCAGACGCCCCACAACAAAACCGAGCCAGTCCCTGAACCGTGGATGAATCAGGACATGCCAATAAGCGTCCCGGAGGTTCAGGGACACCATCCAAGCTCCCGGCTCCAAGAGGAGCCGAACCTGAGACAGCGCAGTCATCCAAAAGGAGGGGCAACGAACCCAGGGGTTCAGACGGGACAAGTCCATAATGAACCGCAGGTCCGCGCAGTCCCGTTTCGGAACCGGAAACAGACGAGAAACCCATCTGAGGGACGACGTCATTTCGATAACGCCCAAGCGTACCCACTCCAAGACGACTCGACAGAGCGCAGGGGAAGAAACCTGCCCTGCCAGCCCTGACGCCCCCAAGGGGGGGAGGGGCCACCCAACGCCACCGCAGGCCGCGAGACACGACCCAAAAGGCCCACGAATCGTGGGACCAGGCGCGGGCGAACAGTGCAAGCCGCCTCCCCATCGCTCCGTCATTGGGGCAAACCGCAAAAGGGCCGGCGACCCTTACGAGACCCAGAACCCCGCACAGAGCGAACACCGCGCCGACCAGACGAGGGAGTGTCCGCAGGAGGAGCCAAACCCGAACCTGACACCAGAGGCCTACCACGACGAGAGGAACCCCGAGCCCTGGCATGACCTTTCTGGTAAGACCCACCGCGGGTGCCCCGGAAAACCAACAAGTCCGACATCGGACGACAAGCCGCCGACGCAGCCTGAATAAACTGCGCCACGGCTGACTCCCCAAACAGAAGTGGACAAAAAGGTGAAGAATGCCTAAGAGCCAGAGCCCAAGCAGATTCCACGGAGGAACTCAGCACCGTCTGCCGACACGTGAGAAGGGAAGCATAAAACAGGGAAACCGCATCCCGCAAAATCGGCGTGAACAGCTTCAACAAGGCAGCTGACGAACGCGCAGCCGAGGACAAGGTGCCGGACCCCGGGATGGACCCAAGCGTCCTCACATCCTCCACAAGCCAATCCGAAGACAGCTCCAGGAGGGAAAAGAACCGCAAGGTCGAAGCCAAAAGGCCCCGGGCGCGCAAGTCCTCCGCAACGAGTGCCGTTGAAAGGGTGGGAACCTGCACATGGAGCTGAATAACGCCCACATTGCGGGGAAGGGCAGGGGCAAACAAGCACTCATTCAGGTACTCAAGCTCGTCCCCCAGGAAAACCTGAAGCACCGTGGAAGCTTCCCACCACTCCAGCGTGCGGGAACGACAGAAGGAATGCCAGGAATCCAGAACAAACAAGGGGCAGTCTGCTAGCCAGGACGACTCCGGAACCTCGTAACGGAGCCAGAAAGGGAACGAAGTCCCAAACCTGAATTCAGACGGATCCATTTCCGAGGCATAATCCGGGTCACACAGGAGGTAAGCTGCAAAGGCTGCTCGCACCACACCAGGTTGGATGCGATAATCCGAAAACCTCCAGAAGGACAGAACCGACGTACCCGGGGGAACACGGAACCGAACTGGGGGAGGGGCCGACACCAAATCCAACTCGTATGCAGAGGGCGAAAAAGAAAACCCCACTCCTTGTAACAATAAGCCCCGCTCAGAAGGAAGAAAAACCCAGGCGGGGTCCAGCGGGGCCCAAGGCCTCCAAGTCAGCCCCTCCCCAGCCTCGAGATCCTTCACCACAGGACCCGAGGCCGAGTCCTCTCCCCAAGCCCCCACCCTCACAAGACAAGGACGGAGCAGCCAGAAAAGCTGGAGGAAGGGGGGCCCACTGGTCAGACCCAGAAGCTTCGGCCGGGAGACAAGACTCGAATGCCTCTGCTGCCCCCCCGGAAGGGGCACCCCCCGAAGCTGCCCGAGTCTCAAGATCAAGTAACCCCTGCTCCGACCCCGAAACCCTCAGACGCTTCGGGGCCGGAAGCAGGGGGGGGGGGGACCAGAACGAACAGAAGGGGAAGGACGAGGAGGTGCGGACTGAACCAGGATCGAAGCGACCCCCACCCCCAAGTCTGGGTCTCGAAAGGCATAGCGGGGCAGCCCCGGGGCATCAGGGTGAGCAACCAACCAAGCGCATTGCAACAGATGAAACCTAGACTGCAACGCACGCGCTGTCTGTACCCGAATAGAATCATCAGAGGATTGGGTAAATTGAGTCACAAGCAAGCAGCAACACTCACAGGACTCAGGGTCGAAAGTATCACTGACCCAACAAGCAGCGTGGCAGAGGCAAAAACAATGAGGGTCACCCAGAGACAAGGGGACCGAGCAACCCTCAAACTCGCACACAGCGAGTGGGGACTCCGGGGTCACATCCATCGGAACCACGCGCCCCCTAGGGGATTCCCAGGGTCCTGAGCGTTTACTTAAGGAGGACTCGCGCTCAGGTAGTCCCAGGCAGGGTGCTGCAAACCGGCGCCCAAAACTACCAAGCAAACTTCTATAGCTGAACCCCAGGGACGTGTACACTCACGGGGACCTAGCAGGGGGCGCCACCGAGGAGAACAGTGGAAGGGCAAAAACAAACTGAATAAAATGACAGAACCCCTCACCAGGCAAAAACAAAAAGAAAAACAAAACCCCGCAAGAGGACAGTGAACCCCAAGGAACAGAGCCGGCCACTATGTCGGGAATACAAGCTGTGCAGCACCCTGCGCCTCTACCAGTACAAACTGCCGGTTTTGCAAAGTGCGCGGCCAGAACCGGGCCCCCTCAGAGAGGCAAGGGGAGCAATAGCCTATAGAAACCCCCGTGTGGTTGGAAGCATTCTATGTCTGCGATCGACCGGAACAGGCACCCAGAAAACTAAGCGCCTCAAAACAAACCCCTATTCTGGTTAAAATTGCTACCAAAAGCCGAACTAGTGGATAGAACTCCCCAACAGAAAACAAGCAAACTAGTGTGATGTTACACGCCGCCATGCCGCTGTCTGAGCAGCTCCCCCCTCCCCGGGAGGGGGAAGGGGGAGCTCCAGACCCTCCACGCCAGCTACCCACACCTCAGTTCTTGAGGCTGGATGTCATAAACGCGAAAAAAACGCCGACCGGAGGGAGAGAGCGATGCCGGGGAGCCTCCGGGACTTACCCAGAAAATGGCGTTTCATTACATTCAACGCTGGTTTTCTGGGGGGAGCCCCAACGGCTCCCCGGAGCTAACTACCCACAGACGGAAAAAGAGGGACTTACCCGGGAGGTGGTCGTCGCTCACTCCTCAACTCGAAGCCGAGACAACTGGCTGCAACCGCCGACCCAAAGCAACACAGGCCCGACGGGGCCCAGGGACATTCACAAGATAACGAGCAGCCAGGACCCTGTTCGACTGCCAAAATCCCCGCCGCCCAAATATCAGACTAAGACACATTCCCAAAGATGGCAGCAAGAGCCGCGAACTTACGAACGTCATGGGCAAGGGGATAGACCACAGGCTCCCTGCGGACGACCTGGAAGACCCGAACCTGCGAACAGGGAAGAAGGGAAACCGGATCAACCCACAGCGCATCCCCGGACACAGAAGCCGTGGCGCGCAAATAACAGTGAAGCGCTGCAACCAGACACAAAACATAATGCACCCCCGGCCTGACCAACCAAGCATCAACCACCCACAGACCCCTCCGGAACGCAGCACTCTCATTCTTCGCCAGAAAAGAAGGAGAAAAGAAGAAAAGTGCCTTGGAAAAACAATCCTGGACCGAAGGGGCCACAACAAAGCGAGGAGACGAAAGGAAAGCAAGCACTCTGTCCAAAGACCAGGACAGCTCAGGCGACGCATGAGCAGGCCGGAGGTGAATGCACGAGACTGCTTGCGAAATGGCACAGATGTAACATCGATACCGAAGGCAAGCTGAAACGAACTTCTATAGCTATACCCCAGGGACATGTATACTCACGGGGACCTAGCAGGGGGCGCCACCGAGGAGAACCGTGGAAGGACAAAAACTAATGAAATAATAGGACAGAACCCCCCACCACGCAAAAACAAAAACAAAACCCCGCAAGAGGACAGCGAACCCCAAGGAATAGAGCCGGCCGCTATGTCGGGAATACAAGCTGTGCAGCACCCTGCGCCCCTACCAGTGCAAACTTCCTTTTACCTGCAGGTAACAAGGGAGAACAGAACACCCAAGAGCCCAACAGGCGGCCGAAAAACCGAAAAGGTAAAATGGACCAGCAGAGGCAGACCCCGAGGAGCCTGTGGAAGGTGGCCCCAAACCCCAAGGGCAGTACTTACAGGGCACCTAGGGAAGGCAGCCCTAGGTGCATGCAGCCTGAGTACTGAAGATAACTCCTGGCTCTCGCACCCACAAAAACCAACACCACACGCAAAGCACAGTGCAGCAGCGACACCGGAGCCAGAGCACACAACCTTCGCCTATAGCATCAGCCTCAAGAGCTGAGGTGTGGGTAGCCGGCGTGGAGGGTCTGGGGCACCCCCTTTCCCCTCCCGGGGAGGGGGGAGCTGCTCAGACAGCAGCGCGGCGGCGTATGACGTCACACTAGTTTGCTTGTTTTCTGTTTGGGAGTTTTATCCACTAGCTTGGCTTTTCGTAGCAACTTAAACAGAATAGGGGTTTGTTTTGAGGTGCTTACCTTTCTGGGTGCCTGTTCCGGTCGATGGCAGACATAGAATGCTTCCAACCACACGGGGTTTTCTATAGGCCATTGCTCCCCTTGCCTCTATGAGGGGGCCCGGTTCTGGCCGTGGTCCCCGGTAGGCCTATGAACTCCATACACATGACTGATGCCAAAGTCTGACATTAACATATCAGCCTGGGATAGCTCCGGGGAGCCGACGGGGCTCCCCCCAGAAATGGGGAAAATATTAGCTAATTTATTTGAAGAAAAAATAGTTCACAAACATATGTTTGTAAAGATTACTTACATGACCACTAGGGAAGCTTCTTTAGAATTTTCCAGGAGTAGTTCTCGCAAACGAACATGCCGGTTAGTCTTTTCACGCTGACCAAGGAGCTCCGCTTCACTAATCAAGATGCCTAGAAAAGAAAAAAAACATTTTATATTTGTGAACTGCCATAATAACTCCATTGTAAGAGAAACCCTTGTGAAGTGTATAACCCAGGCAAGAGACATAGAAACATCAGTGTTAAATATTGAAAAACAATCTGGAACATTTGGAATCCCACCAGTACAATAGTCAATTCTTGCACATGTAGGTAAGTAAACGAACCACTAAGTTGGTATTATGAGTCAAAAAGCAACGAGGAGTGACCGCCACACACCAGTCAGCCACTCGCTGCCACTCACTCCCTCAACACCTCACTTGCCCACATTCTCCTCCCACCATACTGTTTTTGCTTTTATTCACCATATACAGATGTATCTACATTCGTGTTCACCATAACGAACCACTAAGTTGGCATGCTGAGTGGCAGTGGCAGCCCGCCACTGGCTGCTACTTCTTCCCTCCCACAACTCACCTGACTCACCCAAATTTTCCCCCCACAATACTGTTTTTGCTTTTATTCACTATATACAGATGTTCTATATAAGTATCAACATGTTTTGTTCACCATAACTGTTCAACTAAGCCGGTATAATGCCCAAAGAGCATAGTGACCACCCCTACCAACATGACAAATCATGCAGATGTTGCCACACCCATCACCAAAATGGCTTCTCCCCCACACTCCTTTTGCTGTTATTTCACTGTATATACACATTATATATAAGTATCTACATTCGTGTTCACCATAACGAACCACTAAGTTGGTATGCTGAGGGGCAGTGGCAGCCAGGCCACTCCCTCCCTCCCTCACCTTATCTGACTCGCCACCATTCTTCTCCCATCATACTGTTTTTGCTTTTATATACAGATGTTATATATTAAGTATCTGCATATTTTGTTTACCATAGCGAACAACTAAGCTGGTATAGTGAGTCCAGACAGTAAAAGGTGGTCACACAGTCAGCAGACAATGCTACCTCCCTCCCCACCAAGATTACTCCTCCCACTACAGCGCCAATTATCACAACAATCCTGCTATTATCAGAATCCTGGTCATTTTTATCACAGTCAGGGCTCTTCTGTAATAATATCATCGCTAAATAATAGCATGAACATATGAACATGTATATTATGGCATTTTTAGACGATGCTGTGGTCACAAGCTGAACAGCAGTGCTGTGAGCTCATGCTGCATGCGTCAGGCTTGGTGGCTCACTCAATACTGAGGCCCTCACACCCGGGAATTTGGCCCATGATTTAAAAAAGATGGCGTCTGTTTACAAGAGCCCTGATGAAGGTGAGGTAAACCCAGTGTATCTACGGGGCCGTTTAAATCTTGCGTAGTACTCCAATACATCATATGATGGGATGTGCAATTTATAGCAAGTCACTCAACCCATCATATGATGTGTTGCACAACTTAAGGGTTAAAATAAGTTTTTAAAATTTTCTGAAATTCTTTCAAATGTTTTGTGAATAATCTACTAGGCAAATGCTCCAACTTTGTGTAAATGTTACAGTGTAACTTGAAAAATATGAAAATACAAAAATAATTATAATATTGAATATTGAAAACTTCAGATTTTGAAATCGGCTGCAAAAACATAAAAATATCACCAACTGTTTATTTGGTGTTATTATGCTCTCAGAATAGCATATGATCTTCATTTTAATATATTTAGAATATAGGTTTTCAGTATAGTTTACTTTAAAAAAAAAAAATTGTCAATATGGCATTTGAAATCTGCACAAATTTAGACAACAAAAATTTATAACTCCAAACGCTTAGAGTTTATGAAAAATCAATTCTATAGGGATTGTAATTACCTAAGTGTAATTACCTAAGGGTAGTTACAGGATGAGAGCTACGCTCGTGGTGTCCCGTCTTCCCAGCACTCATTGTCATATAACGCTTTGAAACTACTGACGGTCTTGGCCTCCACCACCTTCTCCCCTAACTTGTTCCAACCGTCTACCACTCTGTTTGCGAAAGTGAATTTTCTTATATTTCTTCGGCATCTGTGTTTAGCTAGTTTATATCTATGACCTCTTGTTCTTAACGTTCCAGGTCTCAAGAAATCTTCCCTATCGATTTTATCAATTCCTGTTACTATTTTGTAAGTAGTGATCATATCACCTCTTTTTCTTCTGTCTTCTAGTTTTGGCATATTTAATGCCTCTAACCTCTCCTCGTAGCTCTTGCCCTTCAGTTCTGGGAGCCACTTAGTAGCATGTCTTTGCACCTTTTCCAGTTTGTTGATGTGCTTCTTAAGACATGGGCACCGCACAACTGCTGCATATTCTAGCTTTGGCCTAACAAAAGTCGTGAACAATTTCTTTAGTATATCGCCATCCATGTATTTAAAAGCAATTCTGAAGTTAGAAAGCGTGGCATAGGCTCCTCGCACAATATTCTTTATGTGGTCCTCAGGTGATAGTTTTCTATCTAGAACCACCCCTAGATCTCTTTCTTTATCAGAATTCTTTAAAGATTTCTCACATAATATATAGGTTGTGTGGGGTCTATGTTCTCCTATTCCACATTCCATAACATGGCATTTATTAACATTAAATTCCATTTGCCAAGTGGCGCTCCATGTACTTATTTTGTCCAGGTCTTCTTGAAGGGCATGACAATCATCTAAGTTTCTTATCCTTCCTATTATCTTAGCATCATCAGCAAACATGTTCATATAATTCTGTATACCAACTGGTAGATCATTTATGTAGACAATAAACATCACTGGTGCAAGAACTGAACCCTGTGGTACTCCACTTGTGACATTTCTCCAGTCCGATATATTGCCTCTGATCACAGCCATCATTTTTCTATCAGTCAGAAAATTTTTCATCCATGTTAGAAGCGTACCTGTCACTCCTCCAATATTTTCCAGTTTCCAGAACAACCTCTTATGTGGAACTCTGTCGAAAGCCTTTTTTAGGTCCAGATAGATGCAGTCAACTCAACCATCTCTTTCCTGTAATATCTCTGTTGCTCGATCATAGAAACTGAGTAAATTCGATACACAGGTACACAGATCGAAAACCATACTGTGTGTCTGATATTATATCATTTCTCTCCAGGTGTTCTACCCATTTAGTTTTAATTATTTTTTCCAATATTTTGACTATCAATATAACCATTGACAATATATCACTTGTCAATGATACCGGTCTATAATTAAGGGGGTCTTCCCTGCTTCCACTTTTGTAGATTGGAACTATGTTAGCCTTTTTCCACACATCAGCTACAACTCCTGTATACAGGGATGCCTGAAAAATCAGTTGAAGAGGAATGCTGAGCTCAGGTGCACATTCTCTCAGAACCCATGGTGAAGCTCCATCTGGACCAACTGCTTTGTTCTTATTTAGCTCCTTGAGCATTTTTTCCACTTCATCTCTAGACACCTCTATGTGTTCTATGTTGTTCTCTGGAATTCTTATTGTATCTGGTTCCCTGAAGATTTCATTTTGTACAAACACACTTTGGAACTTTTCGTTTAATGTTTCGCACATTTCCTTTTCATTTTCCGTGAATCTATTTCCCATTTTCACCCTCTGAATATTATCCTTTACCTGCAATTTGTTGTTTATGAATTTATAGAACAGACCTGGTTCTGTTTTGCATTTGTCTGCAATCCCTTTTTCAAAATTTCTTTCTGCCTCTCTCCTCACTGCCGTGTAGTTGTTTCTCGCATCTTTGTATCGCTGGTATGTTTGGGGGTTCGGCCTCTTCCTGTATTGATTCCATTTTTGTGTCTTTTGGTCTCTGGCCCTCTCGCACTTTCTGTTGAACCAATCCCGTTTCCTAGTTCTGCTTCTCTGTTTTGGTATAAATTTTTTTGTGCCTTTATCATATATTTCACAAAACCTGACATACATCTTATTCACTTCCTTGCCTAGAACAAGTCTGTCCAATTATACTCACTAAAAAATTTTCTAAGGTTGCCATAATGTCCTCTCCTAAAGTCAGGTTTTTCATTTGCATCGACCGTCATATTTTCTTCCAGATTATAATGCATTGCATACTTTATTCCCAAAAAGACATGGTCACTTTTACCCAAGGGAGGAAGGTACTGAATGTCAAATATTTCTTCCTCCTTCCTGGTAAATATCAAATCTAGCATGGAGGGGACGTCCCCTTCCCTCATCCTCGTAGCTTGTTTAACATGTTGATACAAGAATGTTTCCAGGATGAGGTCTACAAATTTACAGGTCCAGAAATCTTCTGTTTTAGCTTCACATGCTTCCCAGTCTATGGATTTCAAGTTGAAGTCGCCGACTATCAACAGTCGTGAACTATCGTTATCCGCTCTCGCTATGATCTCTCTCATTATTGTTATAAGACCTTCTCGTTTACTATCTAGCTCCTCCTTTGACCATGTGCTGCTTAACGGTGGACTATATGCATTTATGATCATTAGTTTATCATCCTCATCCCCTGGGGAGGTTCGGCTCCTCCCCAGGTTCGGCTCCTCCTCCTCGTCCTTCTGGAGGTTTTCGACTTCCCGCATCTCTCCACCTGAGGTGCGGGCGGCCATTGCGACTTACCTCCTGTGTGACCCAGAGTATGCGTCTAAAATGAATCCGTCTTCTTTCAGGTTTGGGTCTTCATCATCATACTGGGTTCATTATGAAGTTCCTGAGTCATCCTGGCTAGCAGACTGCCCTTTTTTTTGCTGGATGCTTGGGACACTTTCTGTCGTACCCGCACGCTGGAGTGGCACGAGGCGTTAACGTTGGTCTAGATTGACCTGGGGGCAGCTTTGTGCACCTTAATGAGTGCCTTTTCGCTCCGGCTCTTCTGCCCGACATTGGCGCGGTTCAGCTTCATGTGCATGTTCCCTGCTTGTCGGCAGAGCTTGTGGCCGAGGACTTGCACACACGGGCTCGTTGGCTTCGGTCCTGCGCTTTTTTTTCCTCCTTGAGCTGTCCTCAGATTGGCTTACAGAGGATGTAGAGGCTCTTGGGGCTGTTCTTGGGTCTAGCACCTTGGCCTAGGCTGTTCATGGGTCGTCTGCCCTTTTAAAGCTGTTTGCGCTGATCCTGCGGGATGTGCTGTTGCAATTTTTCGCTGCGTGCCTCACGTGTCAGCAGGAGGTGCTCGCTTCCTTCTTGGAATTCAATTGACCCTGGCTCTTAGACTGTCTTTGCCCTTTTGTCCTTTACTATTTGCTGCCTCTGCGGTCGAACAGTATATGCAGGCGGCTTCTTCCAGCTGCCGCCCGATGTCTGACCTTTTGGTTCTCCGGGGGTCCTGGGTGGGTTCCTCCCAGAGGGGTCATGCCAGGGCCCACAATTCCGCCTGTCGAGGTGGGCCACAGGTGCCATTTTCGGAGCCGGTGCAGCCTTTGGTCCCGTCTGCGTCTGATTTGCTCGTTCTGTGCGCAGGTCAGGTTCTCGTAAGGGGTATCAGCCCTTTCGCAGTTCGCCCCATTGACAGGGCGATGAGGGGAAGGCTTGCTCTGTTTGCTCACGCCTGGTCCCATGATTCGTGGCTTTTAGGGTCGTTTCTTGAGGCCTTTGGTGGCGTTGGGTGGCTCCTCATCCTTTGGAGAGGTTCGGGGCTGGCGGGGCAGGCCTTTTCTCCCGCGCTGTCAAGTCATTTTGGAGTGGGTATACTCAGGTGGGTATCCCGCCTGTTTCCAGTTCCGAAATGGGACTGTGCGGACCTGCGGTTCATTCTAGACTTGTCCCGTCTGAACCCCCCTGGGTTTTTTGCCCCTCCTTTCGGATGACCACTCTGTCCCAGGTCCAGCTTCTTTTGGAGCTGAGCTCTTGGATGGTGTCCCTGGACCTCAAGAACGCATATTGGCACGTCCCAATTCATCCAAGGTTCAGGGACTGGCTCAGTTTTGTTGTGGGGTGTCAGAGATACCGCTTTCTTTGTCTCCCGTTCAGGTTGAAACTGGCACCTTGTGTGTTCACACGTCTTACCCGGGTTGTTGTGGCCCATGTTTGGGTGTTGGCTTACCTCGACGACTGGCTGGTTTGGGCTTCTAGTCGGTCCGTGTGTCTGCTCGCCAGGGGTGTGGTACTTTCCCAACTAGCCGAGTTCGGGATCCTGGTGAACTAGCGGAAGTCCCATTTGGTTCCCTCCCAGGTTCGGACCTGGCTGGGTCTTGTGTGGGACTCTCAGATCGCTTTCTTGCTTCTTCCTCCGGAGTCTCTCCTTCAGCTGCGGTCCTGCATGCGCTGGTTTCTGGGGGGCTCCCGGGTCACCCGGCGGTTGCTCGAGGGTTTATGTGGGAGCCTGAACTTTGAGATCCTGGTCTATCTGCTGGGTCGGGTTTGGCTTCGTCGGCTGATTTGGTTCCTTTGGGGACGTCCCTTCCGCCTCTCTCCTGATCCCTGGGTTCGGCTCCCGGGGGCCTTACGTCAGCTGCTGCATCACCGGCATGCTCTTAGGGTTTTTTGGGGTTTAGTGCCTTGGCGCCTACCTGAGCCCTCACTCGATGTGTTCACAAACGCGACATCTCTCAGCTGGGGCTTTGTGACCAGAGCTCACCAGGCCGGCCAAGGGCGGTGGGGTCCTTTCTTCCGTCGGGCCCACAGCACGGTGCAAGAGTTCGTGGCAGTATGGTATGCGCTTCGGAGGGTTCAAGGTCGCCCGGAGATTGACGATCTGGCTCCATTTGGATTGCTCGCCAATGGTTCATTGTCTGAACCGAGGGGGTTTGATGCAGTCCTTGGCTCTTTGGAGTTGTTCGCTTTGGGTGACTTGTTAGTTGAGTTCTCGGGATTTGGCTCTCCTGGCGGTTCACGTCCAAGGAGGTGTCCAAAGTCCTGGCTGACGGCCTGTCCCAGTTCGTTCCCCCTGTCCACGGAATGGACAGTCGATGCCGACTCATTCAGTTGGCTCTGCCAGACATTAGGGCGCCCGGACCTCTTCGTCTGCATGGTCGAGGCGTCTTCCGGTATATGTGATGCCATTCCCCGACTGCGAGGCTGTAGTGATCAACGCCTTTCGGCAAGACTGGTCGAGGTGGGGGTTCCTGTATCTCTTTCCTCCAGTTCAGCTGTTGCTCTAGGTCCTGGCTCACTTGGAGACTTACCAGGGGCGAGTTGTCTTCTTGGCCCCATGGTGGCCGGCCCAGCTGTGGTTTCAGGTGCCTGCTTGCCCGGTGTACGAACCTGGAGGTTTTTCTATGGCTCTGCCTCTTTCAGAAGATTGGCCCGGTCCATTACGAGACTGGTTTGCTCTTTTCCTTGAGTCTTTGCGTTGGTATTTTTTACTCAAGTTTATCACCAGTTGTACGATGTTCAGGTGGCTTTGTTGATGGTGTCTCACCTGCAGGCTTCATCTCGGCGGCAGTATGAAGTTTCCTGGCGGTCCTTTCATTTCTTTTTGACTCTTCGTCATTGTACTTCACTTTCGGTTCGGGTGTTGTCCATTCTCTTGTGGTTGTTCCAGGACCGTCATTTTATGCCGAATACTGTCGCCTTGTATCATGCGACGCTGGCGGAGCCGCTTCAGCTTACTTTCTGTATAGATGTTACTTCTGCGCCATTTCGCAATTTGTCTCGTGCGTTTTTTCACCTCCGGCCTGCTCATATGCCGCCTGAGCCATCCTGGTCTTTGGATAGAGTGGTCTCTTATCTCTCTTCTCCTCGGTTTCTTGTGGCCCCTTCAGTTCAAGATTGTTTTTCGAAGGCTCTTTTTCCTGTTGGCATTGGCCTCTGGGGGTCGGTTCGGGGAGCTTCATGCTCTCCTCCGGCGCAGGGGTTTCTGCTCTTTCGGTCGTGGAGATAGGTTTGTTCATCTGCAGCCGTCTCCTTTTCTGGTGAAGAATGAGACTGCTGCTTTCCGGAGAGGGTCCTTGGGTTGTTGATGCCTGGTTGGTCAGGCCAGGGGTGCATCATGTTTTGTGCCCGACTGCGGCCCTCCGCTATTATTTGCGCGCCACGGCTTCTGTCTCCAGGGACGCGCTTTGGGTTGATCCGGTTTCCCTTCCTTGTTCGTGGGTTCCCTTCCTTGTCTCTCAGGTCATCCACAGGGTTATTAAGTCTAGCCAGCCTGCGGTCTATCCCCGTGCCCATGATGTTCGTAAGTTTGCTGCTCTTGCTGCCATGTTTGGGAACATATCTTGGGCTGACATTCGGAGATGGGGTTTTTGGTGGTTGAACAGGGTCCTGGCTGCACGCTACCTCGTGAATGTTCCTGGGCTTAGTCGGGCCTGTGTCACTTTGGATTGGTGGCTGCAGCCTGTCTTGACTTCGAGTTGAGGTGTGGAGCACCGACGACTCCCTGGTAAGTTGACGACTTACGGAGGTGTGGTTGACGACCGGGCCGCGGGGACGTTAAGTCCCAGAAGCACCTCATGGTAACCTCAAGGTAAGTCTCTTTTTCTTTAGTCTTTGGTGAAGTAGCTCTAGGGGAGCTGTAGGGGCTTCCCTCCCAGAAAACCAGCATTGAATGTAATGAAACGTCATTTTCTAGGCGAGTCCCGGAGGCTCCCTGCCAACTCTCCCTCCCTCCGGTCAGCGGTTTTCGCATATTTTGATATCCAGCCTTGGAACTGGAGGTGTGGATCGCTGGTGCAGGATCTGGGGCTCCCCCTTCCCCCTCCTGGGGAGGGGGGAGTTGTGCAGACATGCGGTGCGGCTTGTGTGACATCATGCTTGTTTGCTCATTTTCCCTTGGGGGAGTTCTGTCCATTTGTTTCGTTATTTTTGTTGGTTTTACCAGAATAGGGGTTTGTTTTGGGGCACTTACCTTTCTGGGTGCCTGTCCTGGTCGATGGCGGATATAGAATGCTCCAAAATCACATGTGCATTTCTATAGACCATTGCTCCTCATGCCTCTCTGAGGGAGCCAGGTTCTGGCAGTGGTCCTCGGTAGGCCTAGAACTGCACCCACATCAACTGTTGCTAAAAGTTAGGACTATCCCCTATCAGCCTGGATAGCTCCGGGGAGCCTCCAGGACTCACCCAGAAAATTGCGTTTCATTACATTCAATGCTGGTTTTTTACTAACTGACAGGTTGCGACTGTGAAAGCCTGATTGACTGTGACAGCCTGATTGACTGTGAAAGCCTGATTGACTATGAATGGCTGATTGGCTGTGAATGCCTGATTGACTGGGAATGCCTGATTGACTTTGAATGCCTGATTGGCTGAGAATGCCTGATTGACTGTGAATGCCTGATTGACTGTAAATGATTGACTGTGAATAGCTGATTGACTGTGAATAACTGATTGACTGGGAAAATTTGTTTCGGTTTTTGTATTTTTCGGTTTCGTACCGTCTCTGGAAACGGATTAAATACGAAAACTGAGGTACCACTGTATTATATATCATGCCATGGGTCCCAAGAAAGTCAGTGGTAAAGTTCAACCTATGAAAACACATGTGAGGATGACCATAGAGGAAAAACCAGTCTCTGTGGAAAGGTTCATAGTGAGACAAACAAGCAGTGAGCCACAACCAGGTCCTAGTGGTATGCAGGCAAAACGTAGGAGTGAGAGTACCCCATCACTGCCTGATGTTATAATGGAAGGGGAATCCCCTTCTAAACACTAACACCTCTCCTCTTCACCATCTTCCGTACCCCAACAAGAGTCATGAATAAAGTTATGTTATAACTTGTACATACTATAGTACAAAATATTTGTGTTTATTATGTATGACATATATTTTAAAGTTATTATTTTTGGGAGTGTGGAATGGATTAATTCAATTTACAGTATTTCTTATGGGAAAATTTGTTTCAGGTTATGAATTTTCGGGTTACGAACTGTCTCTGGGAATGGATTAAATTCATAAACAGAGGGGCCACTGTATTAGGTCACTATTGCAAACTACAGATAAACAGTGTAAGTGATAACAGGAAATATTTCTTCACAAAGTGGCAGATGATTGGAACAGATTCCAAGAGATAATGTTAACTAAAAACTAACTTCTGGAATTGTTATTAACTCTTAGGATAAAATTGCCAAATAAAGCAGAGCACAGTGAGCACAGTGTGTGTATGTTTAACTGGCAATCACACACAAAACTACATTTATTTTTACCTTCATTCTCTTTGCTAATTTCTTCAGTACTTCTGGCCTTGAAATCTTCAATTAGATGATCAAACTCCATACGGGACGATTCAGCTGCTTTTTTAGCAACATCTGGTATGACGATCACATCACTGTAGTCTATACGAAACTTGGATAACAAGTTAGCCATGCTGGAATATAAAGAATATATGCAAAAAACTTTCACAATTATAACTGATCAGAAGAACAAACCCTTAGTAACCTTAATTCATAATACGATACCATAAGTCTAAGACCAATCCTCACAATAATGCAAAGCACAGTATTTCTGGTTCTTCACATAAGGAGAGTAAAATACATTAAATATTAATGAACAAACACTAATGAAAAAGATGTTAACTGTGTCCTTTGAATTATAAACAGCCAACCTGTGACTGATTAACATTATCTATTTAAATCTTATTCTGCAGATACATCTTATTTCTCTTAACAGTTAAGGGCCCTCAGGCCCTTAACTCGAGGGCCACCATCTCTCTAGTGGCCTCGATTGGGACAGGAAGCTGGAGGCTTGTCAAGGGTCCCTCCCTACCCTATTGTTCCTAATTATTTTTTCCAACTGGATTTTGAAATGAAGTCATGTCTTCTTGAATGATGGACTGCAAATTCCTCATGTACTCCAAAAAGCTTCTATAAATTTAAGTAAAGGAAAGGGAAGTGATAGGTGTGATCACATGATGCAAACATTACCTTCTCTGTTCCATGTCGAGCTCATCTTTACGGTTGGCCAAAGCAAATACACGCAACTTGCATCCAGACCACTGTGACCTTGTAGTTAGTATATAAGGCACCAGCAGAGTCAGACCACCATCATCGTACAGCCACCATACATCAATTGTGCCCTGAGATATATGTTAAATTTAAACTACATTGTATATGATATTCCAGGCTATCAAAACATACTGAACCTTTAACACAAAACTTGTGTCCACAGACACACAAGACATATATACAGACATACACAGACACAAGGAGACAACAAGAAAACTGAAGGGAAAGGCCTCCCACTTTTACTGCATTAAATGCAATGACAAACTCAATAAACTTATGAATAGCAGGGAGAATAATGATATAAAAATGGGTGGAATCGTACAGGTAAAAATCTTTGTTGATGTGGTTTGTAATATTTTAATCTGTCATTGATGTATATGACAAAAAGGGTTGACCCCAAAAAACCAGCGTTGAATGTAATGAAACGCCATTTTCTGGGTGAGCCCCGGAGGCTCCCTGGAGCTTATCGGGCTAATGTGTGTTATGTTAGACCGGGACATTAGCTAAGGAGTTCAGACCTACCAGGGACCAGCGCCAGAACCTGGCCCCTTCAGAGAGGTTTCAGGGAGCAATGGCCCTGGAAAACCCCATATGGTTGGGGGTTTTCCTTATCTGCCATCGACCGGGGTTAGGCACCCAGAAAGGTAGGCGTAACAAAACAAACCCCACATGGTAAGAAACTACAACAAAAACCGAACAGAGAGGTAGAAAACTCCCTACAATCCCAAGGAAACAAGCAAACAAGCAAACATCACACTTTACTGCCGCGCCGATCGTCCGCGCAGCCCTCCCCACCCCGGGAGGGGGAGGGGGGGGAGCCCCGGACCTACCGCGCCGGCTGCCAAGCTCCAGTTCGGAAGCTAAGCTTGTTAGCTTTGGGTGTTAACCAGTTAGTGACACCCTGCCTGGGCTTCCCGTAGTCATTACCCTACGGGCCCTGGAAAACCTTGTCGGGAATCCGTGGACCAGTGGCTGTGTCTTCCAGGTGCCTACTCGTCCTGTGCAGGTTCGTTGGTTCCTGTGCCCTTGTCTCAGGGTGACGGTCGCCTCTTTTACCTCCGTCATGCTGCCTGTTGGGTCATTGACACCTTGACCTGGACACTGGCGAGATGTTCCCTGCTTGTTCTCCAGTACTCTTTTGATGTCCTTACTGTTCAGAGTGCAGGCGGCATCCGCATTGCAAGCTTGATTTAGGTTGCTGCAATGCGCTAAGTTGGTTTCCCACTCGGATGCCCTGGGGCCGCCCAGTTTTGGTTGGATGCTTTTTACCCCTTTCTCCTCCCTGTTCCCGGCTCCTGACCATCTGCGGGTTTCTGGGTCGGGACGGGGTTTAGCTGGTGCCGAGACTCGGGCGGCTTCAGGGACTGCCCCGTTCGGGTTGGGGACGGAGGTTTTTGAGCTTGTTTCTCCTGCCGAGGCTTCTGGGTCTTACCAGCGGCCTTTCCTCTTGGACTTTTTCTTTTCTTTAAGGGCAGAAGGTGTGGAGGACGGCTTTGCCCTGCGGGCCCTCTGTTGCGGGTTCCTGGGGCTGTGGGGGATACCTGCTAGCAGTTCTGGGGCTGTTTGCCCCTGCCTGGGATTTCTGCTTCTGGGCGGGGTTTTTCGTCCCTCTCATCTGTTTACTTCCCACATTTGCTGGCATGTTTTCAGATCTATTGCATCGGTCGTGGCTCCTTTGTTCTGGTGGCCATTTTTTTCCTGCGGTTTGCTTCCCCTTCTGGCCACCAGGACGGCGCTGTGGTTTGTTTACCTGTGCCTGGGTGTGCAAGCTCGCATTTTGGGTGAGTTTTTCACCTCCTTCAGGGGTTTTATCCTACTGTTGCTGTTTCTTTGTTTTTTTCTGGGGTGTTCTGCTCTTTTTCTGTTCTTCTGGGAATGCTTGGGAATGCTTAAACTCTATTAACGAGTTTAATCCGTTCTGGCACCGAGCTCGTTACCTGGAAAACTCGTCTTAACACTTTGGCGTACCCCGCGCGCCACCCCTCAACTGTGCGATTTGGGTCCCAGGGTGTCACGGGAGCGCGCGTAAATTCTGAAAAGTGTATACTCTCTTCAACTTTGTCACTTTAATTCTCGTCCTACGAGATTAAATTTGGTATCATTGTGTTTGCAATAGAATTCTCTACAGCACTAAATGCATATAAACTCCAAAAGCCCGGCTAATTACCCATACTTTACTCCATAGCTAATGTTCCGGTCTAATATAACATACATTAGCCCATTAACCACCATGCTGCGCTGAGTTTATTGTGAAATTCCCCTGGTGCGCATGAAATACAGTGTTCCCCAAAAATTATTTTTTCTTCGTAAAATGATAAATTCCCTTCGTGAACATGTCTATGTAAAAATAAATACCAAATTCCACTTACTTTGGCTGTGGGGAAGTGGACAAGGTGCACTGTGATGTCATCAGGGTCTGGTTGCCCGTGAATCGTATGAATCGCGCAGACACGGTCACGTGGGCCATTCAAGCACCGGGTGTTGCCACAAATATATTTTCAATTATTTGTTTTATGCATTTCCAATGCGGTTTTATTAGTTTTTTTATCATATATGATGCATATTTGTGTCCTTTACAATATGTATACAGTAGAACGTTCATAATGTTCTCTGGAACTGTGATATATGTGTCAGTAATGTGTCCACAATAAATGTTTATTGTCGCAATATTACCTGTTAAAAATTCACTAAAATTACAATATGTACAGTTTCATACACTATTTACACAGTAACACAATGTATTACACACTCAGTACTTCGGAAGTGAGTAATAATCAACGAAGTAGCCCATGGTGCACAGCGCGACTTCGCTCTCAGTGCACCAGGTACAGATAAACTTTTGCTTCCTGTTTCTTCATTCTGTGTGCTTGCAAATAATGTACTCACGTACACCCTTGGCATTAGTACATGTAGGTTGTATGCAGCCAAGCTTGTAAAGCATAAGGTAGTATTGAAAAGATTATAGGAAAAGATAAATTTGTAAGGTAGTCTTGAAAAGATCGCATTGTATGGTCCCTCACAGGAAGAGATTCAGCTTACTTCAAGAGTGTCCGTCAGTCAGAAAGAGATTCAGCTAGCCTCAAAGAGTGTCTGTCAGTTAGGAAGAGATTCGGTTATTCTTGAAAATATCTATGGAAAACACCACCATGGAAGCGGCTAACACTGTTCATCTATGCTACTTGTATCAGATGCATCATCACTGAACGCAGAAAATTATTCATCTATGTATCATCTAAATAAATTGTAGATAGCATAGGATTGCAAGGGTGATGCTCAGAGCTACAACTGGATACGCTCGCTGTATCGTCCTCATCGGTGCTGTATCACTTGCATCCGACCTTTGTGTTAGGTCCTTATTGCGCCTAGCTTCCCCAATATTATGACCCTTATGTTCTTCAAACAATAAGGTTTGAATTTCACCGACAGCGGACAGGTGTTTGGGAGCCAGAGGCGCTTGCGCCACCCATGCTTGCTCATTCAGTACTAACCCAGTCAGGAGCACTAGGGTATTCTGGGAATTTTTTCCAAGATGGCTGCTTCTCACTGGAGGTCCTAAGAGTCCATTTCGTACACAACCAACCTTGTACACATTTAGAATTGGTTACGAAAAATCAAAAGGAGTTTTCTCAGTTGGCGCAGTTTCCCGCCGACCAAGAATACTCGGTTGGCGCAGTTAAGTGGTTAAGCTCCAGGGAGCCTCTGGGGCTCATCCAGAAAATGGTGTTTCATAACATTCAGTGCTGTTTTTGAACACCTGCTGGCCTACCTGTTTGTTAGCCTACCTGTCTGCTGGCCTCTTGTTTGCTGGTCTACCTGCCTGATGGCCTATCTGTTTGCTGGCCTACCTGCCTGCTAGCCTTCCTGCCTGCTGGCCAGGCCAACCTGCTTCCTGATCTACCTGCTTTCTACCCTCCCTGTTTCCTGATCTACCTGCATCCTGGCCTACCTGTCTGCTGACATCTTGTTTGCTGGTCTACCTGCCTGCCAGCCTACCTACCTGCCGGGCTTCCTGCCTGCTGGCTTACCTGCCTGCTGGCCTATCTGCCTACTGGCTTACCTGCCTATGTCTGCCTTCCTACCTGCCTATCTGCCTGCTGGCCTACCTGCCTATGCCTGCTGGCCTACCTGCCTATATGCCTGCCTTCCTACCTGCCTATATGCCTGCTGGCCTACCTGCCTGCTGGCCTGCCTTCCTACCTGCCTATATGCCTGCTGGCCTACCTGCCTATATGCCTGCTGGCCTACCTGCCTACCTGCCTGCTGGCCTACCTGCCTATATGCCTGCTGCCTACCTGCCTACCTGTCTGCTGGCCTACCTGCCTGCTGGCCTTCCTGCCTGCTGGCCTTCCTGCCTATATGCCTGCTGGCCTTCCTGCCTATATGCCTGCCTGCCTACCTGCCTACCTGCCTGCTGGCCTACCTGCCTATATGCCTGCCTGCCTACCTGCCTACCTGCCTGCTGGCCTACCTGCCTATATGTCTGCCTGCCTACCTGACTTTCCTGCCTGCTGACTTTCATGCCTATGACTTCCTACCTACCTGCCTATATACCTGCTGGCCTACCTTCCTATATGCCTGCCTGCCTACCTGCCTATATGCCTGCTGGCCTACCTGCCTATGTCTGCCTGCCTACCTGCCTATATGTCTGCTGGCCTACCTGCCTATATGACTGCTGGCCTACCTGCTGATATTCCTGCTTGCCTACCTACCTATGTCTGCTGCCTACCTGCCTATGTCTGCTGGCCTACCTGCCTATATGACCTGCCTGCCTACCTGCCTATGTCTGCTGGCCTACCTGCCTATATGTCTGCCTGCCTACCTGCCTATGTCTGCTGGCCTACCTGCCTATATGTCTGCTGCCTGCTGGCCTACCTGCCTATATGTCTGCTGGCCTACCTGCCTATATGTCTGCTTGCCTACCTGCCTATATGTCTGCTGGCCTACCTGCCTATATGTCTGCTGGCCTACCTGCCTATATGTCTGCTGGCCTACCTGCCTATATGTCTGCTGGCCTACCTGCCTGCTGCTGGCCTACCTGCCTATATGTCTGCTGGCCTACCTGCCTATATGT